GGGCTTCTCGTAGGTGATCAGGAGTCAGGAGGTGGTCACTCGGTGTGACGCAGCCACGAGGGACTTCATTGCTGATGGAGGGGAGAAGCGTAGATGTGCTGAGGTTGAGACAACATAACAGCTCTGTGAGGACCAGGGAGTAAAAGGGCATCTTAGGAGGGGAGGCAGCTGACTGAGACAAGTTGACTGTGATGCGTGGACCTGAACAAAGGGTCAGAGGCCGTGAGGACCCCGAGGCAGTGGGTGTCTCCCTGTGCCACAGCATCCGGCTCATGACTATAAAACCCTAGGGGTCTGCGGAGGCCCCTGTGGATTTGGTCAACACCCCAAGACAGCCTCTTGCCTTTATACAAAAAGGAGAAAGGGGTCTGGTAATCAGGTTGCCCACAGAAGGACGGTCTCTTCAAACGCTCCTTTAAGGACTTGAATCTTTGTCTTTTGGTACCTCCCTTAAAATGGAGTCGGGATTGCTAGTGTTGAGAAAACTTCATCTAGGTTTCCATGAGAAAGAAATGTGGAGTCTGTCTCTACAACAATCAGCTAGACTCCATCCCAAATAAACACTCATGTTTCACACTTAATTTTGGATTTTAGTAAACTCAGAACACCATGATGCCTTTCTGGATGTAAGTAGTGCCTTGTTATGACATCCGATGCCCTAGACATCTAATATGATAATAGGATACTGCAATTTATCTTTAGCCAACTTTAGTCCCTTAGAGGCTCAAAGTTTGTAACAAGTGAAGGCTGTCTTCCTGCAAGAATGTTCAAGGAGACACTCAGGGCCAAGGTGGAGGAGAACAGGATGCTCATAGCTCACCCTCTCCAAATACACCACAACTCACATTCACAGACCCACCCAGCCAATCAGCGCTCCTGCTCAACAACAAAAGAAAATTGCATTCCTCAAAAGAAAAAGACACTACGAATCTGGTGGGAGAAAAGGAAAAATGAAAGAGCAAAAAGCAAAATAGTGCAGGATCAGTCCCACCAGTAAGGACTGGCAAAGGAGGAATAATGCTCATTATTTGAATGTCCCCCTCTTCAACAGAGAGGTCAGCAGAATGGAGGGGGAGCCTCTGAGGCTCTGATCTGTATGGAGCACCCCTTGACCAACTGAACTAAGTTAAATGGGCACAAAGGTTCCTCGCGACACCCAACCAGAATACTAGCTGGCAGTGGGGGACAGGACAGGCTGCCCGAGCCGGGTAGAGGACTGGGACGGCTGTACTGAGGTACTGAGGCAGCCAAGGGGGACTACAGTGTACTGAACATTGTGGCTGGGAGGGGATACAGAGCAGGACAACCTGACTTCCCAATAAATTATGGGAAAAAAAACAAAAGCAAAGTAGCACTGCTGGTGTGCCGTGGGTGAAGGGCGCCGTATCCTTTATCTCCTCAATCCACA